TTCCACAGCTATTTTCATGAGGCAACATTAAGTTTCTTTGTAATTCAAATTTGTCATGACAGACGAATGAAGTTTCTCAGTAAATAAGGACAATGAATACAAAATTCTATTGCCTTTAGCAAGTCTTTCCTGGTAGCCTAGAAAATTTTTATTTGCTACAGTTGGATAATCCGAGGTGTTAATTACAAATCTAACAGAATGACTTATGAATTTGAGTGTTTCCTGGAGAAAGGGATAAATTAGAAAGTAAGTAGAACTTCAGTATGACAAAGGCAGTGGACCAAAATATGATTCAGATGAAACCTATCAAAATTCTTGAGTAGTTAAGAATTGCTAATATATTTTTGTAATAACAAATAACCTGGACATAAATTTTTAATCATTTAAAAAAATCACAAACCAGAGTTGTAACAAAATAAGAGAAGGACTGATGTCTTACCTGAATGGTGGTTCTCTATGCGCCGTGGAAGAATTCAAGCATGGGTTCAACTTCAGTTTGTCTGCCCAGTGACTGAGTTAATTTTAGAGTCTTTTAGCCATGCCTCCCAGCTTGACTTCAGTTTTTATCAACGAAGACATGGACCATTTGAAGGCTTTGACAACCCATTGCATGCGTCAACTTGGTCATTTTCACTTAATCTGGATGTGGCCCCGGATCTTCAGGTGGGGTTGGATTCTCCTCGCAGCGCACAGAGAACCACTGTTCAGGTAAGACAATGGTCCTTCTCCTGTGCGCTGCTTGGAAAATCCAAACATGGAATATAGCTTAAGTTCTATGAGCGGGATGATGAATTGTCCGGGGCCCTGTCAGCCTCATGGACCGCTTGTAGGACCCTGCGCCCAAACGAAGCCTCAGCCGAGGCAAATGAGTCAAGTTTATAATTTTTTTTTTTGAGAATATTTTATTTCCATTTTCATAACACACACTCACAGGTATACTATACATAGCCAACACCATACAGCATTAAACAATAATTACATCAGTTCCTCTTGTCAACAATGCCCTAGAAAATAGAAACCCATTATAGCTCTTCCGCTCTTCATACACCTNTTATTATTATTATTATTATTATTATATTTTGCTGGAGGGCAAACAGAAGCAAATATATTACAAGTGGAAACACACACTTAAGTTTGTTCATTTTAAAATAATATCTAATTACAAGTTGTTTCATTTTGTCTTTCCTTATCATTTCTACATTTTTGCCAGAATCCGAATCATTGAATACTCTATGCAAGCAAGTAAATACATTTCCTTCTTTAAGAATAAAAAAAAACATATCTATATGGCTAATCTATTCTTCTACAAGCAGCAACTATTGCAGGCTTCCAAGCAGTCACAAGTAAGTTATGAATGCAAAAGGCAATAATAAAGGGAGCCACAATTGTTGCTACCTATCATACATATTGCATCATCTAAGCAAGTTACTTAACATCTGTTTTCATGTGTTTGAAAAAATAAATTATATAAATTAGGAACACCTGACCTGGCCAAAATTGGCTGGGGAGGGAGGAGAAGGACCTGAGCAAAAAAAAAAAAATTACAAGGAGAAAAAGCAAGGATGATGCAACCTGAATATGTTTTTCATTGTTGTAACTGGCTTGCAGATTAAAGGTTGTGGAAAACTGAATCATATTAATACATTATTATGAGAAAGAAACTGATTGGAGAGAAACTACAACACTCAACTCCAAACCCTTATTTTCCTGTTTCACAGTGCTAATTATATAAACCAGACCTAGGCAGGTAGAAAGACTTATCTGAAATTTTTCAGTTAAACGTATTTGAAAAACGAAACGATCTTCATCAGGTTTGAAATTAAAAAATGTAAAATGTTTTTTTGGGGGGGCGGGACTCTGAAAAGCGTTTTACTTACCTACCCAAATCCTGTAGAAAATTTGCCTACATGGTCTCTAAGAGTGACACCAACTTGATGGCAACACAGGTAGTTTTTTGTTAACTGCCACAACTGGAATCTTGGTCATTGAAAGAAGCAGTCATTAAGGAACATGTCACATGACCACTTCACTCAGTGGCCAAAATCTCAGCATATTCAGTTGAAGTTATTAAGCAATTTTGTGGGTTTTTAAGCAGAAAAAGTCTCAGATAAGAAGCACGGATTACCTATCATTCCTAGGGAATGGTTGAAAAAGGCCCATCCTGAAATCCAAGGAGAATTTTGGCACAGAACATCTGCAGCATGCGGCATTTACAGCCAGCTGTTAGAAACAAGAGGGAGTCCTTTTGTCTTGTGGTTGGCTGAAAAAGATATGTCCTGAAATCCAAGCAGGGTTTTGGCACACTTCATGCTGCAAACACACTGTGCCAAAATCCTTGGATTTCAGGACAGACCTTTTTCAGACAGCCTTTAGAAACCAATGGAGACCTGTCATCAAACTACCCAACAACCCATAACATTGCACAGTATTACTTGTCTTACTTATTTAAAANCCGTAGATGGTTCGGTGACAGAAAAATTTGCTGATTTAACATGTACAACAATTTTAGTATAAGAAGTTGAAGAGTTCTACATGGACATGTGAATGTTCCAAACACAAAGAATATGACTTGACTGATGATTAGCGAAGCAGGTTTTATAAGTATAGCAGAAAAGAGATTTCTTTACAACTTAGGGACAGGAAATTCATACTAGTAGGCGAGTTTTAAAAAAAGCAGATATTCTGTATATATGTACCAGGGAAGGAAAGGCAGAAGTAACTACAGGTTAGCAATCTTTTAGACAAAAGATTCTCTAAAATGATGGACAAAGATCTAAAGTAATCCTCAATTGCCTCCTTGTGATCAGTTGATCATGAAGTATTAAAGAGCCAGTGCCACTGGATTTGGACCTCACAGAAATACATCCTGGCACTACTGATTCATGAATCAATTCAATATCCGATTCTTTCCCAAAGTCCTCTAGTACTGCCAAAGGAAGAAACCTTTTTAGTCTTAAGAGGTAAGATTTTCGGAAAGAGTGTTATAATAGGAAGCCCACCCTTGGGGTCCTTGATGATATTTCCTTGGAGGGGAGAAGGTACACAAATCATGGCAAATAATCCCTTTTTGATATTAATAGATGACCAATTTTCTCTCCTTCTCTGCACACAACTTTCCTTTGAGAACCTAAATTAATCTTACTCTTGGCTCTTATCAGCAAAGTGAGTACAAATTTTGTTTGAGTTAGCAAAACAATGTGTTGGAGAATAGATGTGTCACAAAATGTACAATTGGAAGCACTTAAAGTTTCCAAATAAATAAATTGATGCATCATGTGTCTCAATCACGAATAAAAACGTAACTTTGCCCACTTTGTTCAACTGTACATAGAATGCCAGATAAATACCACAGTAGTATTCCTGCTGATTACTAGATCCTAAGTAATTTTCTGACTATTTAGGGATCAAGAAAAGGCTGCTTTGATATCAAATACATCCAATGAGCAAGCATTAATTATTAAGTTAATATAATTGTCTTCCTGACTGAAGGTAGCCCAACCTGTTGCAAGTTTAAACAACTCATAGTAAATGGTTTGCAATGTTTAGAATCTAGATTTATAGAACTGACACTAATCTCTATGAATAATTTAAAAACTCTGCTCTCTTCTATAACAATTGTTCACATACCCAATGCCATCAGGAATTGTGATCCATGCATAACTTTCTGTAATTCTAACATGCAAGGAAAAGCAAAATATATTTAATAAGCGCTGTGAAACAGTCATTGGTAAGGCTTCCTTGTGAATTGCAGATGGTAAAAATCTTTCTCTATAGAAAATAAAAAACTATTAAACTATGTAAAAATGTACTATTGACATGAGATTCATTATAAACTTTTATTCTGATTTTAATAAATTAATAAATTCAGGTACATGCCTATGTCTAAAAAGCTGTTTTAAGCATTACATATGAGCATCTTCTACAAAAATACATGTTAAACTCAAATGAAAAAAACTGATTATTAATCAGTTGTACAATATTATAAACATTTGAATTTCAAAGATAATTGCTAATCTTTTGCCGAAGTATATAGTTTAACATTCAAAACAGGTGCAGTGCCAAAGAAATTGAAGGTAGCTGGTGTAATACCAGGTTTCAAAGAGACCTAGCAAGAGCTGGAAATTATAGCCCTGCTACTTTAACATCTGCTTTATGCCACTCGACAGAAGTGGTACTCAAAGAAAAAATAAATAGGTTCATTGAAGAATAAGCTTTGCTAAAGAAAAATCAGCATAAACAAATCCTAATTCTCCAAACTTGCAGAGTTTTCTAAGAAAACAATAGAACCTGGATGGAGCTGACCCTGCTGTTACTATATACTTGGATTTTCAAAACCCAAGTTTTGAAAGAACAAAGTTCTTCATCAATGGTTCTGTAACTTAGTGCTCATAGGATAAAAAGAAATGCTTTTTATGGAGAGCTAATTGATTAAAAATACAAAAGAATGCCTAAATGGGTAATGTTTTAATAGAAGGACATAAGAAGATTCTTGGAGCCAGTGATTTTTAAGATGTTGGCTTATGAATAAATCACAAATGGGTTAAATGATACTGACTTCTGGATAATATTAAGGAGTCTGGGGTCATAAGAACCAAGTGATTGTGAAGGACTAAAGGAATTTTTTTAATTTGGTACATGTTTACCAAATTACAAGTACAGTTTAAGTAAACAAAGTGATGCACATTAGGGCAAAAACCCCAAATTTATATATAAGGACTGAACTATTTGTAAGTAATCAGAAAAAATGCTTTTGGGGTTATGGTGGATGGCTAAATTAATATTGTTAACAAGTATTACAAAGAAAAAATCCATGCTATGGATCATTAGGAAAAACACAGAAAATTAAAACCCCAAGACTGAAATTATTTTATATAAATCTACTTTGCATTGGGATGGTATATATTATTAACATATAACACATTACATGTTTTAGTCCATTTCTATAAAAGTATTGCACTTACTTCCTCTTAGAGAAAAAACAAATAAAGCTCACTACTTACCTCAAGGCCACAACTGTATTCTGTGCCATCCAAAAGGACAACTTTAGCCGGTACTATCCTGATCTTCTTAGGAGTTTTTTGGAGCACTCTTTCTACTTTGATTTCACTTGTTTGCACCTCTTTTGTCTCTCTTTTCCGATCTTCAATGTTTTCAGTAGCTTCAGAAACAATTTCTTTGTCTTCTTTATCAGACTATAAGGAAATGTAATATTACTATACAATATTATAGTTACAGAATTTAAATTTAATCAAATGCACACACACACATTTCAAATTACAATAGCAGATAATCATAAAGATATACATATATGTTTTCTCTATCATTTTTCTCAGAGAAAATACAGCTTGTCTATAGAAAAAACTTATAGGAGGCATCAAGTATGCTTCACTAATGATAAAACCATTTTTTTCATACTTCAGGCAAATAAAAAAATAGAATCGGGACAGATATTCTGAGATTCTATTGCATGAAAGTAGAGAAGACTAGTCACAAAGAACCTAAAGATATGACAAAATAGTGTTTCGACTTCTTTCTTTGCTCAGTTAGGTCTAGATATTCTGAAATGCAAATGTGTCTCACTAGTGCGCATATAGTCCAAATTGAGAGCTCTGAAACAGCTTCCATTGAAAACAGGGCTACTGTAGCTTGAGACAAGTATGTGACTTTCCATGTTCATATACTGGCTAAAATCAATTTTTTATCCATCAGCCTCGCTCTTTCTTTAACAATGATTTACTATCAACTTAGAAAAAAACCTCATAACAAAGAAACCATATGACACTATGTTTCAATCTACGCTGTATGAGACCTATGGAGCCCTTAGATAACCCAGACATGGAACTGCACATCAACCTAGCAACTGTCCCTTTAGACTACCAATCTTAGAGAACAAATCTGTAGGACACGTATTTAGCCTGCTGTGTTGAGACCTTGGCTTACTCGACTATTAGAATTATTTATTCTTATTCTTATTATTTGGTTAATCTTTGGTGAGATTCACAGCCTTTGGGGCTGGTTGNCATACACCTATTTCTTCCACCACCCTCCAACTTTCTATCTTCCCTCCATCATCCCCCTCTACTCTACTTCCCCTCCCCCTCTACCACTCCTCTCTCCACAATCCACTCCCCACCATCCTTCTCATCTTCCCCTCCCCACCCTCTCTCCCATCCCTCTCTGCCCATCTTTCTTCTTTCCCACTCCTCTCTCCAGTGGGAGTGGAGAAGTTTATAATTTTTGATGAACAACAATGGAGACACATGTGGCTGCCCTACATATTTCCTCCATTGAAGCTTGAGTCGCCCAGGCTGCTGTGGTGGTTGCACTATGAGTGGAGTGAGCCGTGATGCGACCTGGTGGTTGTTTGGATTTATGTTCATAAGCCCTCAACCATCTATCAATGACCGTAGATGACACCTTCTTGCCCATGGAGGTGGGCTGAAAGGATACAAATCATGATTCAGTTCGACGAAAGGAAGCCATTCTTTTGATGTAACGTCGAATCGCTCTCCTGACGTCCAATTTATGCCACCGTTTTTCGGTGGGGTGAATGGACTTAGGGCAAAAGTCAGGCAGTATTACCCCCTGAGACATGTGAAAGCGAGTGTTTATTTTTGGTATAAATGACGGGTCCAGATGGAGGATGACTGTGTCAGGCTGAATAATGCACAGGTTTTCTCAGATAGATAGAGCTGCCAGCTCTGAAATTTGCCTTGCAGTGGTGAGCGCCACAAGGAAAGAGACTTTCAGTATCAAATGGTGAAGGCTGGAAGTCTTTAATGGCCTGAAAAGTGGATTAATAAAAGCCTGTAAGATCAGGGAAATATCCCAAGTGGGATAACGGTGAATTTTAGGTGGTCGCAGATTCGCTGCACCCTGATGGAAAGTGGAAACCTGCAGATGTCTAGAAAGCATGCAATTGGAACCTGATCATAAGACAGTTGATAAGGCGGCTACTTGCCTTCAAAGTGTGTTCAGGGTGAGCCCCTTGTTAAGTCTGTGTTGGAGGAATTCAAGCACCTGGGGAATGAAAACCGACATGGCCTCAATGGACTGGCGGAGCACTACCTGCAGAAGGCAGCCCAAGTTGTGTCATAGATGCGGTTCGTAGAATCCCATCTGGAAGCCTGTATGGTCTGGATGACCCGCCTAGAGAATTTCCGTTTCATTAATAGGTCCCTCTCAAGTGCCGGATGGTTAGCTGGAGCCACTGAGGATCTGGGTGATCCAGCACCCCCTAGCTGAGAGGGAGACCCTGTCCTGTGGTATCCTCCACGGGCAGGAGACCAACAGGCTGATCAAGTCCGTGAACCATGGACGGCAGGGCCAGTATGGAGCAACCAACAGCACTTCTGCCTTTGAGGATCTTCCTGATCACTTGTGGGATGAGAGCGAGCAGGGGAAAGGGATACATGACACCCGGTGGCCAAGGACTGCGCAGGGCGCCTGTTCCTTCTCCACTCCTCATCAGAAACCTGGAGAAAAACCTCAGCAGGTGTGTATTTTCTGGTCGGGCGAACAGGTCCACTCACAGACGACCCAATATGTTGGAGATCTATTGAAAGAGTTCTGGATGAAGCCTCCACTCCATGTGGTCAATGGTGGACCTGCTGAGCCAGTCCACCTGAGTGTTGGATGTTGCTGAGATGTGCTCGGCCCGGAGTGAGAGTAAGTGAGCCTCCACACACAGACATCGCTTTTCCGCCTCCTGCATCAGGGCCTTGGAATGAGTGCTCCCCTGCCAGTTGATGTGGGCCTTGGTGGCCACATTGTCCCTAGGGAGGAAGATGTGTTGGTTTATAACCTGATCCTTGAAGCATCGTAGGACTAGATGAGCGGCCTTCAGCTCCAGCCAGTTGATGCTGTTTTCAAGCTCCTCCTCTGACCAGCGCCCTTGGGACAGTCATGATTGAAGATGTGCCCCCCAACCAAATAGGCTGGTATCTGACATCACCATCACTCGATGAGGCTCCTTGAAGAGAGAGCCTTTCCTTATCGCTGGGGAAGTCCACGAATGAAGTGAATTGTGGATTCATGAAGGAATGTGCACCTTGATGGTGGAGTTGCTCCTTTTGGCTCATTGATGTGGAAGTAGGAGCCACTGTAGTGGTCAGGCATGCAACCTTGCCCAGGAAACGACCAACAAGCAAGAGATCATTTTCCCTAGCAAGTGGGAAAGCTGTATCAGTGGTACCTGGCATTGCGCTTGAATGGAGGAGACTATCTATTGTAGGCTGGATTGGCGGTCTGGAGATAAAAACACTTATCAATAGAGAAGCCAAGCTAGGTGCCTTGAAGCCACATTAGCTGCCTTAGCTCGTGAGGCGAACTTGGCAGCGTAGAGAGTGGCGTCTGCCGAGTATTCCATGGCTGTTGCCAGTTTGTTTCAATCCTGGCAGAGCCTGGAATCCTCTGCAGGAATTTTGCCCAAGAGTTGTCTCAGTGGCTCTATTGAAAAATGAGGCCGAAGCCATACCCTAATGGCCCAGGACACAGCTTGATGAACCTTTTTTAAAGAGTACTCTGCTCTCTTGTCCTCCACCTTCAGCCCCTCCATGAGATCGGAGGACGTAAGAGCGGCCACAGGGGTGTCTACCTTGGGCCACTGTGAAAGGTTTTCCAATTCAGGAGCTACAGAATATAAGCACTTGTCACAGCCACAAATCCAGGCTGAGACCATTGGCATTGTACAACATCTAAGAAGAGCTGAGGGGCAGGAACCTCCTCATGCTAGGCAGGAGATTCAGAAAATAAATTACTGCTCTTGGCCTTCTTGACAGGTTGTTCCATGGCTGCATCAGTTTAGGTACTGGCCATCTCAGTACTAGTGACCGCCTTTGCCTTGTGAAGAAGGGACTTGAAGAGAGCAGGCTTAAAGAGGCCAATGAAGGCTGGCTTGTCAGGAGTCATATCCTCATCATCCAAGATGATTTGTTCCGTGCTCATCTCCTCAGCTGCTAGTGAGTCCTCACTGCTCATGGAAGGTTTTGGAGAAGGAGGATCCTGAATGGGGAGAGGAATGTCCCTACTCTGGCCCTGGTGAGCTGGGGCCTGAGTTCCCTGTTTAGTGGAGGTGGGTCTGCACTGGAAAGCAAACTCCATGGCTTGTATTATTGCCTGTGAAATAAATTCCTGCTGTTCTGCAGAAAAACATGCTGAGGTTGGTCTAGGGTCTGGTGTGATCTGCTCCTCCCTGGAGTTATCAGGAGGCTCCTCCGCAGTCATGGGAAAACAGTCAAAGGGTGCAAAGTCCTCCCCAAAGCAAGCTGCCCAAAACTACTGGGAAATAGAGATGTCATCTGGAAGGCAATCTAGTGTTTTATCCCTGGTCTGAGTTGCCTCAGTCTGTCTTGGGGAAAATGGATTAACCATCAAGGCTTTCTGTGCCTTAGGAAATTGCTTTTCCAAGGCTTTCAATCATCTAGTGGCATCTCTGTCAGCTGAAGATGGCTGAATCATGAGAAGATGTCTTGGCCTTGCCTGACTTGTCAGAGCTCTTGGATGACCCTTTAGCTGCTTTCCTCTCCTTGGAGCAGGCTGAAGGATGGAGGATGGACCTGGGCAGGGTTCTTCCTCCTCATGATCCCAATCAGCCATAATTGAAGGTAATTAAGCTGGCAACGCAACCGCCCCACTTAACACCTCTGGACTAGGTTTCTGCAGTTTACTTCATGGACAGGAGACTGCCACAGTCTCACTGGGTTTTGACAGAGTACTCGGACAGGGAATGGCGCAGGGCTGGGTTGCAAATAGTGCTCTGGCAGCCTAATTGGAGGCCTCTGGCGCTGGCACTGCTACAGCTACACAAGCAATGATATGCCCAAATAGGAGCTGCTATGGTAGATCGGCGCTTTCAGCCAGGAATAAAGTCCCTCGAAATTGCTCAAGTTGCTGCAGATGAATCCCAAGGAGAAGTCTGCAAAATGGAAGGAGAAATAGCCCAGCGCTAATGTCCCAAGAGTCCACTGAGGTTCGCTACACTGCAAAGGCTATCTCCACCACTAAAATGCTGTCCGTTTGCGATTTAGCGGCCAAAATGGTGGGTACGACAAAAAATGTGATCCAAAATGGCAGCCGCCTCGAGCTAGTGTCCAAAATGGCAGCCGCGCTCTTCTCCACTGACAATCCTCATCAGGAGACCATTCAGGATCCCTGCTGAGGCCGCAAGCGACGCTCACCCAGTCCGAAAACA